CAAGATGTTTTCAACATATGTTGGATGCACTTGCTACAATTGGTCCAAGGTACAAAGTTCCTTCATATCATAATTGTAGGATCAATTTGTTGAAAGATTTGGTTTAGGTGGTTAAGATGTCTATTGATAAACTCTATAGTCAATGGATTGCAATTGGTTATATTATAATGGCTAATAGTTGGACAGGTACACATAATCGAACATTGATTAATTTTTTACTGTATTGTCCTAGAGGAATTATATTTGTGAAGTCTGTAAATGCTTCTGAATTAGTGAAGAGTGCATAGAATTTGTTTGTTTTGTTTAAACAAATTATTAATTGGATAAAATTAGAAAATGTTGTTCAGGTAGTCACTAACAATGTTGCAAATTATGTAGTTGCACAAAGATTGTTGGAAGTATAATTTCCATGGATTTATTGGTCATCTTGTACAATACATTGTCTGAACTTGCTGTTGAAGATAATTGGGAAAGTGGATTATGTTGCAAATGTGGTTCAACGTGCATCTAAAATTACAAAGTATGTCTATAATCATATTTTTGTACTATCAATGCTAAGGCAGATACTCGCTTTGCAATCAATTTCATTTTGAAACACATGCATGATTTTCAAAATTTGGTGACCGATTGGAGTTATAATGACTCCAGCTATGCAAAAGATGCAAAGGGGGAGGAAGAATTGAAAATAGTGCTAGACTCTAAATTTTGGGAACAATGCAAAATGGTTGTAGGTTTCACATCATCACTTGTAAGTGTATTGAGGCTTGCAGATTTTGAGTTTAGGCCTGCAATGGATAGGAATGACAATGGTGCAGATTTCAGGTGGATTTTGTTAATTCTAGACTCTACTCACCTCCCTAAACCTCTCAACCCATACCTGCCCCAAAACCCATAGTAGGATGGATTTTGACAATCCAAACCCTACCCACATATGAAAATGCAAAACCCTCCCTATGTTCAAGGGTAGACTTGTTCATGGGCCGGGTGGCCCGATTATAGGCCCACGGGCTTAAACTTGAGCCAAAAAGCCCGGCCCACAATAAATTCGAACCGGGCTTGGGTTTTGTCAAAATAGCCCGGCCCAACCTAAAATTAGACTTAAAATGAGTTATGTGATTATGTCTATTTGAATAAATTTTTTAATTTAAGAATGTAAAACTGTGTTTTAAAACGTAAAAGAAAAGGAAAAAACCATCTTGTAGGCCCATTGTTCATTTAAATAGGAAAAAAAACATCTGAATTTTTAATTCTAATTTGAATAGGGAAAATTGTAATTTTTTTATTAGGTCGGGCTTTTTATCAGGGCCGGGCTCGGGCCCAAGTTATAGGCCCGTTGGTCGGGCCGGGCTCGGGCTCGGGCCTAGCGTATTTCCATTAATGATGAGTAAAAGCCCAGCCTGACCCAGCCCATGAACAGGTTTATTCAAGGGTAGGGGTGGGTTGGGTTTAAAACCCACATCTAATTTCCTTTTATTTCTTTTCATATAAAAGCAATAAATAAGAAAAATAACACAAATAAACAACAAAATTTCAAACTATTTGATTAAGACGTATAAAAACACATAAACTATCAATTATCCTTCATGTAAAGTTTAAAATATTATTAAATTCAAGACCTAGTACATCAAAATTTATATGATTTTCTACAATATGTGGGTCAAGGAGGGTCGGGTTTAGCCTAATATCATACCCTACATGTACCTGTACAAGTTGTAGAATCCCAAAACCCATTATTCAAGCAGAAAAACCCATCCCATCGGGGAGGGTAGGGGTGGGTACTCACTAGGTAAGGTAGAAATTGCCATCCCTAGCAATGGGGTATATGTATCATGCTATGTTGAAGGTTAAAGAAGCATTGAAAAAATATTTCAATTATAGGAAAGCTGAATATGACCCATTTATGTAGATTATTGATAAAAGATGGGATAAACAAATGGGTCACAAGCTTCATCTTATGGGTTATTATTTCAACCTGACCTTCCAATATTATATGAAATCAAACGTCAAATCCCCAACCGTTATGTCAACCATTTTTTATGTCATTGAAAAGTTTGCAATCAAATCAAATGATGCGAAGGTAAAGCTAAACAAAGAGCTTTGTATTTTTTAAACTTGTGGTGATAATTTTGGAAGAATGGAGATAGTTAAGACAATGCCTCCGAGCAATAAATATTTTCTTCTTATAACATGTTTATTATTTCAATTGTTTTTATTTTGGGTAGACATTTTAATTTTATTTTATAAATTAAATCAATTCCATTTCATTGCATATAGGTGAATGGTGATCGAGATTTGGTTATGACACTTCGAATTTAAAATGAATTATTGTATAGATCCTTAGCTAGATATGTAGTTCATTTGGATGTGAATACAATTGGAGTGTTTTTGAATGTATGCACACGAAGAAAATGAGTAGGTTGGAGCACTAAAGGCTCAATGACCTAGTATATGTTAATTGCAACCTAGGCATGATAGATTGGTAAGTGTTTTATGTTTCACAATTGTCTACTTTTTTATGCTTTCACTTCATCTAATTTTATCACTTGCTTCTTTGTAGGAGAAAAATTGAAAGTCTTGACCCAATTAGGTATGAACATGATGTTGTGGAAGATTTAACAATGCATGATGATGAGGATCCTCCATTACTTGATGGTTATGAGAAGGACAATATGCTTAGAGCTTATGAGACAACACTTCCAATAATGGAAGCACCATAAAAAAAAAGGAGCTACGACTGAAGGTAACTATTATTAATACTATCTCATAGGCATTTCCATACTTGAGTTTTTTGACTATTTCTTGAGTTCTAATTTTCTATTTTCATTCTTTAGATGGTAATGTTGATGATTTCTTCAATAAGCAATAGAAAATCTTGGAGGAAAATACATCCAACACCCAACTTGGAGATGAAAATGAAACATAACCTCCTGAAGATGAAGATAATGATAAAATACCACCTAGCTTTGGTTGGTAGTTGGTACCATTGAGAAATGAAACCAACATATCTTAAGAATTTGGACTATTGGATTTGTACAATTTATATGTTGAACTTGAAGTTTTGACTTGTGTTTAATACTTGTTGAACCTTGGTTTGTGATCTTTTCTGCTTTTGAGTACCTAAGTGTTGTGATTGATGAATTAGTAATGCATGATTTTATGGCAATATCTATGGAATCTCTTGCAAGTTTTCTTCTCTTGTCTTCTTAGTTTATTTATTTATTTATTTTTTGAGCAAGAAGCCAACAGAGGAAACTTCGAGAGGCTTAACTATCTAAAGGGGCTCCTTTCCATTTGTAAAGGTAAGGGCATTATAATGGCATGAATGGTACTTAAGTTTTTCCCTTCTTTTTTTTAGTATAACAAATTATAATGGCATGGATGTTTAGGAAAACATTATTTGAAGTTTAGTGAACTCTATGTTTATATGACCTAGATAAGCAAATTGTAAGTGAAAACAATAGCAAACAATTAAAAAAAAAAAAGAAAAAACAGAGTGAGAGGACCTAAAATTATGTTTGTTCCAATTTGACTGCCATAAACCATGTGAAGGAGAACCTATGGTGGCTTTGAGCTGGAAGGGAAAAGGGCCAGAGGTGGAGGTTTGAGTCTAGCATGGGAGCTTAATGAATCTTTTGAAATGGAGGGAGACTTTAAGAGAATCCGATAGGACCTGAAATGATTAAGTGAACTTTAGGGTAGGACTTGGGTTGACAGAGGGATAAACTTTAGGTAAGGACCAGGGTTGACATAGGGGTAGACCCTTGGAATCCCATGACCCATTCTGTTATTGCTTTCTACCGTGTTCTATAAATGCTTATGGCTATGTTCTTGTGTCTACTATTGTGTTCAAAATGAGAGTTGCCTACAAATTGATGGAAAGGGAAACCGTTTCCAAGGAAATGACCACATTGTAGTCTTCTGTTGTATATAAGTTAACAGTTTCTGTTGACTAACAATGCCAATCCTTTGGTTTGGAAGTGTGTTCACTTTTCATGCATCTTTTCTGTGTTTTTTTTTCTGTATTTCTTTTTGTATTTTCTGTAGACATATGACTAAACACATCATGCTTTTTATATTTTCTTCTGTATTTTTCTTTATTTTCTACAGACATATGACTAAACACATCATACTTTCTATATTTTTTCTGTATTTTTTGCAATTTTGTATGTTTTTTCTATATTGTTTAGAAATTTTATGTTTTTTTTTTGTAGACATGACTAAACACATCCTACTTTCTGTATTTTTTTTTGCAAATTTCTATATTTTTTTGGAAGTTTTCTATATTTTTTTTGCATTTTCTGCTGACATGACTAAACACGTCATACTTTATGTATTTTTTCTGTATTTTTGGAAATTTTCTGTATTTTGTTTTGTATTTTCTGCAGACATATGACTACACACATCCTACTTTCTATTTTTTTCTGTATTTTTTGCAAATTTTTGTGTTTCTTTTCTGTAATTTTTGGAATTTTTCTGTATTGTTTTGTATTTTCTACAGACATATGACTAAACATATCCTATTTTCTGTATTTTTTGCAAATTTCTGTATTTTTTGAAAATCTTCTGTATTTATTATTTATATATTTAGATATTTTTAATTTTCCAAATGATTTTTTTCTGTATTTTATTTAATTTTATGGTATTTTTTTATTATTTATAAATATTTTTTGTTTTTAATTTATTTATAACATCACGGGTCAAACCGTTTTACCCAAATGGTTGAACCATCAAACAAAAAATGGTGCCAAGACCGGTTATGTCTCCGGGTTGGTTTTCAAAACCTTGGTTAATACTACGATAACGAAATAACTTAGCATCTTGTAAGTAATAATACATTTAATCATCCCATTTTACTTTTCTTTTTAGGTCTTCTTTCTTGGATAAGAATGCGTAAGACCATCTCAATGATCAATATAGTCACGAGTCACGACTGCAGTAGAATTGTAGAAGAAAAAAGAAATGGATTGTTATGAATTATGATGCAAGCTTAACATCTTGGAGACTTTGGAAGGTTAGAATTTGGTATTATAATCTAATAATCATATCAAACATGTAAAATGTCAGGCAACAGTAACAGAAAGTGCATTCAAAACTTGAGCCACCTCTTCTCTTTCTCCTTGCTAACAACAGCATTGGATGCAGATGCATGGGCTGCCTCTGCATCTGCCAAGGCCTTGCGGGCCTCATTGAGCTTCCTCAAAGCAGCTTCATAAACCACCTTTTCTTTCCTGTTCCGATTCACCATTTCTTCTAGCTTCTCAACCCGGAACCTTAGCTCCTTCACCTCATCATCATAAGCTACCAGGGCCCGTCTGTCTTCTTTCTTTGCATCCTTTTCACCTTTAGCCTGTTGTTTTTTTGCAAGGCCATTTTGAGCTTCGCCTTGCATAGCTAGCTGGTTATTGATGAAACTGAAGACGCTTGGCCTTGATTCCTCTTCAGCTTTTGCAGCCCGTGCAGCAGCTGCATGTTTCTTATCACGCTTTCTCTTGCCACCTCTAGTGCGCTTCTTTCCTTGATTTTCCTTGTTTTCCTCATTTTCACGTGACTCCAGTGCATGATCAAGTGATTGCTTTGGTGGGAGAACTTTTACAGGAATTGGGTGCACCATTCCTTGTCCCGATGCACCCAAGCCCATCCCTTCTCGGTAACCCATGTTAGCCATCATCTTGGAAGCTATGCCCCGGGTGTGATGCTCCCACTTGGCAAATACTGTTGTTTCAGTCTGGATGCCTCGTTGTCGTGTTGTTGCTTCCAGAAATCCAAGACCTCGAGAGTCCTCTTCTTCATAGCAGCTGGAATCAGAATTGTCTGAACTTGAATCATCATCATCATCTTCTTCATCTACACTCATTTCAGCATATTCAGACAATGAAAGTGCCTCACTCCCAAGATTTGCACAACTTCCATCATCTCGAAAGACAACTTGACCCATTCCAATCACATCATCCCATGACTCAAGTTCTGCTTCCCTCCAAATGCCAGCCTTGCTTTCTGAAACTGCCCAGATGCTAGAACCTATCAATGACTCTTGCCATCTTGTGGGAATATACTTCTTGAGGGAAGAAATAGGAACATTGATTCCTGAGAAAATGGCTCTAAGTCAGATCCAAAGCACTGGATCAAAGCAAATGCATACAAAAGCTTCTCATGGAACAACCGAACAACCACAGACCAATTAAAAAATAATAGTAATAATATAAAGAAAAGAAAACCTTCACTGTTAAATTTGATAATGTATGTCAGCAGACATTCATGAAGAAACACCACAAGAGATCACAGCAGAAATACATGGGATTGAATTGACAGGAAAACAAACTTCTTTAAATCCTACATCTTAGGACCCACTGCAAACACTAACATACCATGAGACAAGCGGCAATTGGTACCAAATCGACATCGTTGTTGTAAAAAGAACTTGCACATCTGCACTTAGGTGGGTTCACATTAGTAAGTTTTGAACCAAGAACAAAGGCTTCCAAGTTTCTAGCAGTAGATAAATTTCAGCAACTGGTGATGATGACAAGAGTAAGCAATTTCAGGGTATCAGATATGTTAAGCAGATAGGTCTCCCAGATAGCATATAGAACAAACCAGTAAATGTTTGTAAAGACGAAATTTTATTAAAATAAAAAAATGAATACAAGGTGAGAAGAAATCACCTTGGAAATAAGAAAATAGAAGGAGCCACAAGACTTGGCAACAGAAACTGATCAGCATTACCTAAGAAAAGCCAAGAGCCACTAAATATAAAACAATGAAATCCAGGACCATTAACGTCTGAGCAACAACTATGACCCTTGAAACATATTGAGACTGTCAAATACCAGATAAGTATGTTGGGTAAAAATCTGGACATGAGCTGTGCCTTGGGAATAGATGAAGACCACTGCCCAGTCTTCAGCATACATGTAGAAAAATAAGATAAAAAGATGAGGTCCCACTGATTCATCTGAATTATCCACTAGCTAATATATATACATATCACATAAATTGGAAGGTCAAGTCACCCTATCAGTTTGAATTGTTGGGTAGCTAATATTCAACCGCTGGACCACCTTAGTAACAATGAAACAGAGACCAGGAAGGGTCTAATCACCCTTCCGAATGAAGTTCAGATTAACATGCATCATTATATAACAATAAATTGAGAGTATTGAAAAGGTGTGTTTAGGGATGAGAATGGGTTTGTTTCAGCCATGTTTTCGGGCCCAAATGGAGTGGGTGACTCTCTCAGGGCTGAGATTTTTGCAGTTCTGGAAGGAGTCCAAAAGCTAAGGAGATGAATATAAGAAAACTCATCACTGAAGGGAACTCAGAAGTGGTGGTAGGGTGGCTGAATAAAGAAAATAGCAGGTTATAGATGTACAGTAATGAGAGGAGGAAATTTAGGTGGCTGGTTGAAGAGAGAGAAATTAAGATCAGCTGGGTGAAAAGATCAGCTAACTCTTTTGCTGATGGGTTAGCTAAGCAAGGAGTCGAGAGAGAGTTAATGTTTTCGACACAAGTGTAACTTTTTCCTTTTTTCTGTTCTTGGGAGCTCAAGCTCTAGTTGGAAGATAAGAAAGTTTGTCTTCCTCCTTGTAATTATTTTTGTGATTAATTAATGAAATGTGGTTATTGATAAAAAAAAGTATTCAAATTACATGAAAGAGAGCTTTTCTACATATCACCACTTAACTCCTATGGTGTTAAGAGAAAAAGAAACTCCATTTAGTTATTAAATTGTAACATATGTTTGAATCTGCATATCATATAATAGATTTTCTGGATGGCCTAGAATATTTTTAGAAATAGAATAAAACAAGAACTCATGATTTTCTCACATCCCTTTGCCACCAGTGCCTAAAGACAGAAATAGTGTATTGGTAAATAGCCAAAGTAGGGGGAGTTAATCAACGCATTTCTACTTTCCCAAAGATAGATAGCTCCTTTCCCAAAAGGTCAATTTTTTGGAGAACCTATCAAGGATCAGATTCCAAAAATTTCTAAACATTGGGTTTCCTCCTAACAGAAAAATGATCTTTTTAACAGCAACACGATGGAAATGCATTAAAAATGAGAATAATGAGATCATGAAAGAATACTAGTACAAAACTCCTCGGCCAGGAGCAAAGGGAGAAAGATGGAACAATCTCAAAGAAACTGACCACACATTCTTTGCAATATCCAAGCAAGTTCATTTAGCATTGAATAGATTCAATATAAAAATCTTACTTTGGAACAACTAAGAAAAAACTTAGGCTCAGTTTGGAAGGAGTACAAATACAAATAAAATAATACAAAATACAAGGTTTTGCATTCCACATAATTGCACTTGTACTCCTTCCAAACTGAGCCTTATAGAAGATATGGTCCTTGATGGATTGAAATAGCAAAAAAGGATTCATGTAGCTGACCCAATATGAGGTTGAGTCAAGCAGTCTTAGAAAACTGTCACACTCACATGAGGTTGCATTTGAAGGAAGCAAAGTTGCAATAGTTCTCATTAGTCCTAATTAAAGTAGCAAATTTTATATGCTTGGAATACTACATCACAACCATGAGGCATGAGGTTGCACTTGAAGGAAGCAATCCAAAAGAGTAGTTGTAGTATAACCCCCCCCCCCCAAAAAAAAAAAAAGAAAAGAAATTGTACGCACCAACATGTTTTCAGATGTGGGTGTAAGAAAAGAGATCCTTGCAGAACTAGAACCTTCCAACGCAACTATGCAACCATTATACCATCGTCCATCAGTGTGACGGAATCTACATTTTGATCCAACTGCAAAACCTTGATCTTTCACTGGTTCTGCTTCAACATGTGTCGGACCAAGAGGTTCCACCATCACATCTGTGGCTTCTGCATCAAATAGCTCCACCTTAGCATTCTCAGCAGTAGCTTCACAATTTTGTACTGATATAAGTAAATCAGTTTCACGCAATAACCGTGAACGTTTGAGGTGAAGAAGCCCTTCCTCTGCATCTCTGATTGCGAGAACAAGTTCCTCATGAACCTTAGGAAAAAAAAAACGTCAATACCTATGGATCATAATGATACCTCTCAGAAATCATCATAGCAATAAACAAGGACCAAAATTTTGCAACGTATCAGGGTGTATTGGACATATCATATCATTCCAGATACACCCTTTGTGAAATTTTGAAACAAAAGCCGAAAAGAAGTGGAGCACGTGATCCAAACACCTGGTACCCATGTTCGAGCGTATCGAGGTGTCTCAATACTTTGAACCTTGGCAATAAAGCCTGGTACCATGGTTTATAATTCATAACAAGGGAGAGATTGAGGAAGATGTCACCCATAGATTTAGAGCAGGATGGGAAAAATGGAGGGTGCATCCAAAGTTTTATGTGATAGGGATTACCACTTAGATTAAAAGGAGATCTATAAAACAATTGTATGCTGTACGGAACAAAGTTTTGGGCAGTCAAGAAACAACATGCCCCAAAAATTAATGTGGCAAAAAATGTGTATGCTGAGATGAATGAGTGGAAAAACCAAAAAAGGGATAAAATATTAGGGGTGTAAATGGATCAAATTTAAATAAAATCAGAAAATATCCAAATTCGAGTTTGAATCCGATTAGAAAATTAGATACCCGAATTTGATTCAATATCCAATGGATATTGAAAATTAATATTCAAATTCAACCAATTAATAAATATAAAAAATAAATATTTTATTTATATAAAGTATATAAATATATAAGTTATTTATATAATTTAATTATTATATATTTAAATAATATAAAACATTTAAATATTTTATATGTTATATATAAGAATTAAATAATTGGTTGAATTCGGATATTTATCAAATCAAATTAGGTCATATCCGAATTCAACCAATTAGATATTCAAATTTGATTCGATCAAATACCGTTGACACCCCTATCAAAAATGAAGTCATTCGAAGGAATCTAGGAGCAGCTCCAATAGGCAACAAAATGAGAGAAAGTAGACTTAGGTTGCATTTAGCATTCCTTATTTCAAGGACTTATTTCTTTTTTGCAATTAAAAACTCAATGTTTATAGGGGCATTTTATCAGCAAAAAGGAGATAAGTCCTTAAAATAAGGAATGCCAAATGCAGCCTTAGATGGTTTGGTTACTATAGAAGACCATCAACAGCAACCCTAAGAAAAGTTGATTTGTTGCAAGTTGAAGGGGCTAGAAGGGCTAGGGGTAAACCAAAACGGAAATGGGTAGAAGTAACAAGAAATGATTTAAGAACCAATAATTTAACAATGGATATGGCATTAAACAGATCAGATTGGCAAAACAGGATTCATGTAGATGACCAATATAGTTGGGACAAGGCTTGGATGATGATGAGTAACAAAGTGGAACATAGCTATTGCACTTAGGATTTTAAGAATCTTGGCCATCTTGTTTACTTTCACCATGATCAACAATTAGGTCCTGTTTTTTCACTTTGATTGCTAGTTATTCATTACACCTTTATTTTGTTTTTTTAGTTTCATTGTTTTTATTAATCTAAATAGTAGAGATCTTGAGTTTTGTTATTTTTATTAGTGTTCTTTCTTATTAAGTTTTGTTGTTATGCAAATTCAGTCACTACGTTTGGGAAAAAATCAAATGTTTCCAAAGGTTTGACTGATCACCTATGCTTATCTATAAATAAGCCTTGGTTTATGTAAGAAGGAAACTTATGGAATTGAATTTCTCTCTTCAGAGCTTAGAATTCTCTCTTGGACATCTGATTGGACACAAAACTATGTCGTAATGGTTTGATTCTATTAGAATGAAGTAAGAACCAGACTGACAATAGTCCTTAGTTAAGAAGGGGATATATAATTACTAGCTATCCCCTTTCCTTCTTTCTTGATTCTAGGTACTCTTCTTGTCTTTAATTTTCTTTAATCAGCAATAAAAATGACATTAGTAATAAAAGAGGGGCATGATGATTTTGCAGGATTCCAAAAAGGAAAGGTGGACAGGGGAATTGAATAGGGAAGTCTGGGCTGATGATGCTTGTTACTGAGCAGAAAGACCAGTTGTGGGGGCTTATGGTGGTAATCTTGTTATCTGAAATGCAAAGGTGTTGAGGGCTTGTGATGCATTTGTTGGGATTTAATCTATATCATGTGTTTTGTTGGGGGGGGGGGGGATGAGGAATGGATCTTTTCAGTTGTTTATACGCCTAAGGAAGATAGCTTGCAGGGCGACTTTTCAGTTGTTTATAAGCCTTTCAAGATATCCATGCAGTGTTCTCTACCTCACACAACTTCAGATCACATGCCTTTGTCATTACAGACAGGTGAAATGTCCAGGCTGGGTCTCTCCCATTTTGAATTAATGTTCTTTTGAGGCTCTGGGATTTCGTGACAAAATGAAGGAATGGTGAGACAGTGCTGGTTTTTCAGCCCACTTATAACAGAAGCTTAGACATCTCAAGAAGGAAATTAAGCAGCAGAATTAGAAATTGCAAGGAAAAGATGTTGGATTTTGTACCAGAGTTGGACAAGGTGGTTTCAAATAGCCTATCTAAGGAAGAGCGTCACAAGAAGAGCTTGGCCCAAGATAAGTTTTGCAGATTATGTTGAATGGAGGTGTCATGGTGCCAAAATCTAGGGCCTTGTAGCTCAAAGCAGGTGATGAAAATACACGGCCCTTTCATCAAATGGCCAATGCCAGGAGGAGGCAGAACACCATCACATCTATTACCGTGGATGGCTCTTACATAGAGAACCAACAGCAAGTGGTGGAAGGCATTACATCCTTTTTTGAGAAATTATATAAAGAGGGAGAGGTATTTAGACCACAGCTTGATGGTATGGATCTTGATCAATTGGAAGAACAGGATGGAACTCATCTCGAAAGGGAGATTTGGAAGGAGAGGTATGGCAAACCTTATAGGATCATCTCAAAGGGGACAAGGGCCCGGGCCCTAATGGATTTCCTATGGGCTTCTATACCAAATGCTGGGATATAATTCATGGTGACCTAATGGCAGCAGTGACGGACTTTCAGGTGAATGCTTGCCTTTCTTGAGACAAGGCTCTTTGTGGGCTGGTAGTTGAAGGCTTTTTGTGGGAACTCCAGTCAGTCATTTTGTTGATCATTGGACACCTATCATTTACTGAGGCTCTTTTTGTATAGGTTCTAAACGTATATGACCTGTGCACAACTACAGGCACATTTTTTACAGGATCTCTCGCCCTCCCTTTCACTTATATTAATATAAATATTTTATCATTTTTTTTATAGGAAACGGTAACTTTCATTAGATAAAACCATAAGAAACAACTGTTACCTTCCAAAGTAAAAGGTGACCCCTGAATAACAAAAAGCTTACAACACTGCACGAAACAAAAACTCCTGATTCACCCCTTGTTTTGCTAGGTTGTCAGCTAAAGCATTTGCTGACCTCCTAGACCAATAAACTTTTGCATCCAGCTCCCTTGTGAGGCTCAATAATTCCCTTGATGGTGATCCCTTCAATATTTTATCATTTATCAAAAATAAATAAATAAAAGAGGGGGAAGTCAAATAAAATCTAGCCCTGATTCTCAACTAAGAAGGCCATTACCCAATTTTGGTCCCAGGTATATGGGGTCTTGGGAGGGGTGGACTGCATATGGACCTAACCTTTGGCATTCTTTTATGCGCAAAGCAGCTACTCTCAGATATAATCCAATCCCAATTTTCAATTATATAGCCTAATTTCTAATGGTCATTCTATTCTGATTGGAGACAATATCCCTGATATCCACTTAATGCTACTCTCAGATATAATCCAATCCCAATTTTCAATTAGATAGCCTAATTTCTAATGGTCATTCTATTCTGATTGGAGACAATATCCCTGATATCCACTTATGCTATGCCAGCAATGATTGAACAGGGACAGGCTAGCCACATGGAGACAGTGATTACTTGTAATTGATTGGTGCTGGCATTAACTTGTAAGTTGAAGTTCACCATCAATTGAAGTTCACCACGTGGAGTGAATTTAGGAGATGATAAATCCAATAGGGATGACTGGAGAGATGGTTTAGCTAAATCTGGGGTGGGAAGGGATGTTTTGTACAGTGATATTTCATTGCCTATGTAAATTCTGAGGTATGTTCTTTTCCGTTGCTTTTGCCTTGTTGCTTGGTTATTGTGTACATCTTCTCATGTATATCCTTCCCCTTTTCTTTTTGCAATGAAAGTAATCTTTTTTCAGAAAAAAAAAGGGGTTGAAGAGGATGAAGTCATCAGGGCGAAAGAATCAAAGAGTGAAGAGGAGCAAGTCGATGATTGGAAGGTAGGAATAAAAGAAGCTTAAAAGTTATTCAGGAGTAAATAAGAGGATCAATGTGGAGAAGCTTGTAAGCCAACTGATGGCGGCTCAGTTGGTAGGTTCTCTGACTCGTTGGAGTAGAGACCTGGGATCAAATCCCGCTGCCACCAGGGGTTGGGGGGGTTAAGGGAAAGGGGATGGGCTACCCCCTGTTGTGTAGCCCCATGAAGCAAAAAAAAAAAAAAAAAAGTGGAGAAGCTTGTAAGTAAGTAAGTAACCTTTAGGATTAGGAGAGAAGATTGACTTCTATTAAGAATGTTGCAAAGTTTTTAGAATGGATAGTAAAAGTGGGATGGTCAGGGAGAGTTGCTAGAATCCAGAGCCTAGGAATAACACTGGGAAGGGAGTTGCTGATGCCCCTAATTAAATTTGGATAAATTGGATATATCTGTTTCAGGATAATGAAAATCCAACTAAGAAAATAATCATATAATTCCATGTGAAGTATGATTAAAGTGGTCAGCAAACAAGTGCAGGCATGAAGGACATGATGACAAGAATTCAATATATTTACTTTTTCTTATCTAAACAACTACTAATTCTTAACTGGTTAAAAATTGTGGCAAGAAATATGCTTGAAAACTCTTGAAAAGGGAGCAACTTTGACAACTGCTTGACAACCTAATCCTTTATAAGATAAAAAACACTAAACAATTACCTTTTTTTTTTGATCAATACACTAAACAATTACTTTTGGAAAGGATTCGTTTTCTGATTGTCCAGCAAAGTAGCAGTAACTTCAGAAAATCAAACGTCTTAACAAATTCAAGCAACATAAAGACCGTACAGATAAAAAACATTAAGAAATATCAACCTTTTATTTCAATTTCGCACACAGAAAAATAAATCAAATTCTTTGAGGAACTCCGCGTAGAACATAAACCAAAAAAAAGTTCACAATTACAAACAAACGAAAACCCTAATTTGGACACGAAGTTTTGAACCACCTACCGCAAGAAGCTCCGCATTAGCTGGGTCAGAAGCTAGGGCTTCCTTTAAAGCCGTCAAGGATTCCTTCTGTTCTTCTAGTTGAAGCTCGAGCTGCTGCTCGAGAACACTTTCTTCTTCGTTCGCCATCGAGAGTGACGGAAACGAAGATCGAAGGATGGCCGTGCACTACCTCGCGGTCCTCGCCGGAACGAAAACAAGTTGTTTCTAGTGTCTAGTTAGCCATGCACGTATGGGCTTTTACATGCTCTCCACACTCCTGGCTCCTGCTCCAACAGGCCCATGGGCCACGGCCATTTGCATTTTGCTTTGGGCCTCTTGGTCCATTGATATAAGGCCCACAATTCTTTTAGTGGCAGTTGCTTGTAGGTCCATACGCCGACATGGCTAAAAGGTTTCTTTTTCTGGTATATATATATATGGAGAGAGAGAGAAGCAGAGAAGGGAAAGTCTACCCTCAGAAATATAGCCTTGAATCTTACCTTGACTAGCCACACCGAATTTGGGTTATGTTTGGTTTAATTTTCACTTTTTCTCATTCTTACTCAAAATAGAATTCTAAAATAGATAAGAATGGGAAAAAATATGTAAAATGAGAAAATATTATTATAAATCAAATACTTATTTACTAAAAAAAATAAATTCTTTTCAGATTAAAAGTGTCTTATGTTGGTCATTTTTATTCTTCAAAAATACTTTGTGCTGGTGGTCATAAACCGCCAGCCCAAGTCTCCAAAACCATTGGCATAGATATTTACAGGCAGATGACCAACAGTCAATGTCTGTCAGCATAAGTTTTCATGACAATCCGCTAATAAACATCTACAGCGGTGACCTTGCATACCTAAGCTGGAGGTTTATGACTACTGACATAAAGTTTCTTTAAAGAATGAAAATGAACAAAATTGGACACAATCATTTTTCATGTTGCAGGTTACCTCAATTTTTATATTATATGTTGATTTTTCATTCTGAAAAAAAAAAATGAGACTCATGACAAGAATTTTATAACCAAAACTCTAATATTATTGATCGTAAGACTCAGAACAACAAACTAAACATGGCCTTGGTTTTTTGATCGTTATGATACAATAGCGAAGTAACCTGTATTGTTAATTGCCAAGTGGACACTCGAATGACAAACTAACCAAGTTCACATCTGCACCCCACAAGGGTGTGACTCACAATATCCTATAGTACATTTCTATTGTGTATTAGAAACATCTCTCAATGATGTACCAGAAATGATGATATCATCATCTGAAAATGTTCTCAATACACGACGAAAATGTACTGTGGAACATTGTGGGGTGCCCCCTTGTGGGGCGCAAATCTGAACTCCAACTAACCACGTACCACGTGGAATGTGAATTTGTCCCCACCTCCAAAAAAATTGGAATTGTCATCATCTATCCATGGCCATGATCGACATGGGTTTGGATTTTGGCCCAACAAGCAAATATCAGCAATATCTACTTTTTGAGTTTTAACGTGATCTGACATGCCCAAAGATAACGGCCCATTTAACTTCGGGCCTTGAACCACTGAATGTGACTGCTTTGGATTAATGGGCCTGTCTCGTTCTACTCGATTGATGTCTTAGTCATTTTATAAAAAGACTCCATATTCCATCCTATGATTCATATTCGGGGAAGGGTTTTTGGCGATAATGGCAACCTTTGGCCCCTAATATCAATAAAAATAAAATTTTAATATAATCTTTAGAATATAAATGCTTCTCCTTCCTCCATGTCCTTCATTGGTAATTAGAACAAGGGAAATCCCAAGTCAGAAAACCTAAGCCCCATGGATCCTTTTTCCAATACTCCATTATCTCAACTCTCAATACACTTTATGGCACAAAAACTTTACTACAAATTCAAATGCACCTACACCCAAGGATTAGGATATCGATATAATATGTCTGATATAGGGTGTATCATATTAGTATAGGATTGAACCGATATGATCGGAGGTGTATCCTGTCAGTCATTTGTATCGGTCCAATATGTTATTGTATTGGCACGTATCGTGAGTATCGACCAATATGGTCTGATACGCATCGATACAAAAGCATAATGAACCCGAATTTGACAATAAATATACCTAATGATTCACTATAAAAAAAAGAACCTAGTGTGGTTTGAATCTAGGTCATTTATTCATGACACAATAAATGAAATAAATTAACTTTTATTAACATTACACTTATATTCAACAACTCCAACTATAAATTAAAAAAATAATATTTAAAATTATTATTTATAAATCAATGGAATAAATAATTTATCAAATCCACACACATACTCACACACACACACACACACACATATATATATATATATCAAAAATTGATTTCTAATTTAAAAAAAATTATATAAATAATAAAGTAATTATTTTAATACTTAAAATTTATAAATGTGCATATGATATGTATCTTAAAATATTTTTATAAATTATTAATTAATATTTTAATTTACATTAAGTAACATTGTATTTATTATTTACAAAGATAAAAATATTGTTTACAAAATATTTGAGAATATAATAAAAATAAAAATATTAATAATGGAATAATGATTTTAGTAATTTAATTTTATGAATTTTCATATGATATGCATCTTCAAAATTTTAATAGGTTTGATATATTTTAAGTTAAGATTTTTATTTTTATAAATTATTAATTGACATTTTAATTTACATTTTATAATAACATATTTACAAAAACGAAAATATTGTTTATCAAACATTTGAGAATTAATTTTTAGTTGATTTTTTTGTTAATGTTAAAACTTAAAAATAATAAAATAGAAAAAATAGATATAATAATTCAAATACAATAGTTGCATATTTTTTGTTCCTTTAACTTTAATAGAAAATAAAATAATAATGGCTTTGTACATGTATTAATTTGTAAAAAATCCATATAATATTTGTCTTGGATTCTTTTTTATTGATGCATTATCAATAAAATTATATATTATCTATGCATCCCTCTATATTAATTGTAATATATTTCTTCATATATACAATTCCTATATTTATACATTATTTTTAGTTATTTTGGCATTAAACTTATTGTTTATAATATATAAATAGAATTTGTATACATTTCCTTACTGTATCCAACCGTTTCCATATTCTTTTGTGCATATCCATGCATTTTCCAAGTGTATTTGTATCCATATCCATATCCAAGTTGTCCATTATGATACCTATAATCCTTGTCTACAACACATGGAAAATCAATCAAGACTATATAGTTGGCATTCCCCTTGTGATCAATGTATTATTTTATTCATCCTTTCACACTGTAGAAGTGGGGATACTTGCAATACAAACATAAATAAATTAGCCAAAAAATTAAAGAAGCTAGCCAAAGCACTTAAAAGCTCATTGTATAACCTTTTTGATTTATTACTTGATTTTTTTATCAAAAACCCAATTTCTAATTAGTTTCAAGATCACCACACATCACAACTTACCCAATGCAACAACACATGTAAATTTTTAATAGTGGTTGTAAAATAAAAGGGGAAAATAGAAAAAGGTGTATAATTGTCCAACCTAAAATCTTTAACCTATTAGGTGAGATCCCCTCGTGTTTATTGGGCTTGAAGTGTGTGTGGACAAGCAGAGTCCTTTGATTTATAGTGGATTCATGAAGAGGAAAATGATATTAACAAAACGACTGAATCTGTTAGTGCATGATTCATGACATGAACATTACCATACTGATGTTCACATATTTTTTGCACCTGAAGAAGCACTAGCAGGGCTACTATTACTTCTTAGCTTGGTAGAACAATAAGGTGCTCGTGGGAGCCCCCTCTTCGGTGAGCACTGGAAAGAGGGGTTCTTCTTCGTGCACCGCCTAGGGGCTAGCTGTTCCCTACCAAGTTGTCAGTCTCAAAGACCAAGGTGAAGGCATTGACCAAGGCCGAGCTGTTTAGAGAGGAGTTGGCGGTCATTAAGAGGATTGTGGGGGTGCAAGTACAGAAGTACACCATGTCCGTGATGTTGATCCGTGTTGGGATGATGGAGCCCCCAACTAGTTTGTCCTCACTTAGTGTAAGTTTTTTATGTACTTCCTCAGCTATAACTGACCATCGTTCTTCTTTTGGGTAGATATGATCATGGCTGGGGATGAGGAGGAGAGGATGAGGCGTATGTAGGCCGTCGCATAGAGGAAGGCAACAACTAAGGCGGGGGCCACTCAGTAGTAGCATCGCCCCAATAATGTAACCCTGCTGCCATCAAAGAGGTTGAGGCCTGCCGAGGGTGACGTAGTAAACGTCGGTTCTAACGAGACTCCTCTACAACATCCACGGCTATAGTCTGCGACTTGAGGAGGTCTTGAGGTTCTACCCCCTCGAGTGTTCACCTAGATAATACTTTGGAAACTGAGGGCATCCTCGTGTAGTTGGCCCAAGGTATCTTGCTACTCAGGATTGATCGAGAGACAAGCGACTAATTCGTTGCAGTAAAGTATTTATACTTTGTCTAATCCCTTTCTCCGGATTGCTTCACCATGCTAATTGACTTGTTTTGTAGACTATTTGAACGGTGACAATGCTGATTGATAGGATGTGCGGTCTTCGGCAGATGGCCGAGGCTTGGGAGGTTGAGTTCTCTCAACTGAAGGCAGAGATAGCCGAGCTTAAGAAGGCGATGATGACCAAAGATGAGGACCTGCGGAGGTTGAGGAGTCAGATGCGCGAACTCAAGGAGGGCCATGACAAGGTGTGGAAGACGGTCGAGGAGGCCGAGGCGAAGTTGCTTCATGCCGAAGAGGAAGCGGTCACAAAGTACAAGGAGTTTGAGGAGTTCTAGATTGTTCTTGATGATTACACTATGGACTCTTGGCAGATCAGCTTCGTCCGAAGCAAGAGGAGGGTTATGTGCAAGCATCCCAAGATAGCAGCCGCCGTGGGGGCGTATGGTCCTTTCGACACAAAGCCATCACCAGCAGCGCAACCTACCCAGACTGACGCCTCAACTACCATCGAAGGGGTGGATCTTATCGACGACGTAACCGATGTGGAGTGACGTTTCCTTTTTTTTCTCATTGTTGTACTAAACTTAGTATGTCGGGCTTATAACTATTGTACTGGACTCCTTTGATAATGGAAATCTTCCTTTTGCCATCCAATCTTTGCCTTGACCTATTTTTTTTAACAAGTTAACCCACTTCG